CTCAGGGTCCTGGGATCGAGTCCCGCATCAGGCTCTCTGCTCGACAGGGAGCCTGCTTCCCTTTCTCTCTCTCTGCCTGCCTCTCTGTCTGCTTGTGATCTCTCTCTGTCAAATAAATAATAAATAAAATCTTTAAAAAAAAAAGGAGAAGAAGAGGAAGAGAAACTGAGGGGGAAGGCAGCTATGGGAGATCACAGTGGTGCACCCAAGGAATGCCAAGGATTGCTGGGAAACGCCCAGCACCTGGAAAAGGTGAGGAAGGATTCTCCTCTACAGGTTTTCAGAGGGAAACTGGCATGGCTCAGCTGATACCTTGATTTGGGATTTCCAACCTTCAGAACTGTGAGACAACACTTTCCTGCTATTTTAAGTCACACAGTTTGTGGGACTCTGTTATGACAGCCCTAGGGAAGTAAAATGCTTTGTCTATTATTTCTATGTAGAAATCCTAGATGATGACGTCCTGCTGGACAGCTCTTCCAGGCTCTGTGCTCAAGCATGCCTTGGTGGCAGCTTGATGTCAGCCATAGCTGTTGTACTTACGTGATAGAAATAGGAAAATGCTGCAAATTAGAACTCTTCTTCTCAGAGAGCCAGTTGTTAAACATTTACTGGAAACCATTGCTAATGGCAATTACTTTGGTTAACAGTGCACTGGTTAAAGGGAAAACTCAGATCTTTTGATAGCTGTGAAACACAGGGTCTGAATTAATACCAATGCTGAGGACCCAGAGTGCCATTCTGGCCCTTCTGCTAGAGTCAGGGAGACATTTATTTATTTATTTTTTTATTTATTTGACAGACAGAGCTCACAAGTAGGCAGAGAGGCAGGCAGAGAGAGAGAGAGGGAAGCAGGCTCCCTGCTGAGCAGAGAGCCCGATGCGGGACTCGATCCCAGGAACCTGAGACCATGACCCGAGCCGAAGGCAGCGGCTCAACCCACTGAGCCACCCAGGTGCCCCTCAGGGAGACATTTAGAGGCAGTTGACAAATGGAATCCTGACCCAGACCTCCCTCCTAGAGCTGTTATAATGGGGAAAGACCAAATAGAAGCCTCTGAAACTGGCCCTTTCCCATCCTAGTCATCACAGTTTAAAAAAAAAAATCATCACATCCCCGAGAGTATGGCAGAGAGCTATGCCATCCTCAAAGACATGAAAAATGCAAGAATGGTGGTCCCCATCATACCTTCATTTAGTTCACTCGCCTGACCTCTTCAAAAAACTATCTGGATGGTGGTGGATGACAGTGGAAGTGCAGATTTAATCAAATAGTAGCCCAATTTGCAGCTGCTCTGCTGGACGGGCTATCTTTGCCAGAGAGAATTAACACAGCCTCACTGTGTGATATGTGACCATTGCCCTGGCAAATATGATCCCTCTGTCCCTTACAGAAAGGAGGATCAGAGGGAGGTCACATTTACTCAGGATGGCCAAGATGCACATTCAATATGGCATCGGGGATATGTTAGCCATCCTGCCCTCTGCCATAACTATAACTGCAAGGATCTGGGCCATCTGGACCAGAATGTCACATTGGCTCACTCTTAGACAGCAATATGCTAATCCGATTGTAAGAGGAAGAAGTGAAAGTACATTGGAAAATATCCTCCCAAGGGTGGAGGAGAAACCCTTCAAAGTTGCAGGCACCTGCTACATGGGTCAAGTCTTGAGGGGTCCAGTGGCCTGGGGTATGTCAGGACACCCCCTTCAAAAGAAACCATTGCTACTCACACCTCTCTCTGCTAAGAAAAAGACACAAAGCTGGTTAGGCACATTTGGGCTCAGGGGACAGCATATGGGAATAATGCTCCAAGTCACAAGCAGGGAACCGTATCAGCTTTGAGTGGGGTGCAGAACAGAACAGCACTCTGCAGGAGATCCAGGCTGTGGTGTGAGCCCCTCTGTCTCTTGAAGAGTACGACCCAACAGACCCTATGGAACTTGAGGGATGTGGTAAGAAAAGACCTCTTTTGGCATTTATACAAACCTCAATGGGAGAATCACAATGGGAGCCCACTAGGGTTCTGGAGCAAGGTCAGGGCATCTACAACAAAGTACACTCCATTAATAAAGCAATGCCTGGCATGATGCTGGGTCACAGCAGACAGGAAGTGCAGGGCCTCGGGATATCACATGACCAGTTATGAGCCGCCTGACCCACAAGATCCTAAGGCCGGGTGATCCAAGCAGCCGTTTGTTGTAAGATGGAAGTGGTACATCTAAGATCGGGCACAGGCAAGACCAGAGTACAAGTCCGCTTGTGAACTAGCGGGCCCAGCTTCCAGGTCATCTCTCCTGGTGCATTGCTGCCTAGTCCTTTGTTTACACGTATGGCTGCAGAGGCTGAGCTTGGGCCATGAATGGGTTGGCTCAGTATGCAGGCCTAAGAAGAAAATAGAGGGCACCTCATGGCAGTCAGTTGAGCGTCTGACTCTTGATTTTGGCTCAAGTCATGATATCAGGGTCGTGGGATCAAGAACCTCATGAGCCTCTGTGCTAAGCATAGAGCCTGCTTAGCATTCTCTCTCTCTCTCCATCTCCCTCTGCCCCTCCCCCCACCATGGGAGAGCCTGCTCGCTCTCTCTCTCTCTCTCTCTCTCTCAAAAAAAAAAAAAAAAGAGTATGGACTCTGTCAAGAATAATTTGTCCCAAATCCTAACTTATTAGCTGTGTAACATGGAGTGGGCTATTTACCTCTCTGTCCTTCACCTTTCCTAGACTTAAAATGTGTGCTGATAATGGTACCTACAACATAGGATTATTGTGTCAATTTAAGGACTTACCCTTGGGCAGCACTTACAATATGACTGGATCCACTGTGATCTTTCACTAACTTTTTGCTATTGTTATAAAACAGAATGGTTCTTTTTTGTTCTATTATTATATTTCATGTCAATTTTGTCAACATTGACAAAACAAAGAACACACAATGTGTGTGTGTGTTGGTAGAGTTGGACCATTCTCCTGCATGGCTTTGGTGAGAGAGAAATCACACAGATTCAGGACCACGGAGAGCGATACTAATTGGTCTCCTATCCCCTAACACTCGTGTTAGACAAAACCTCTGGAAGTGTCCCGATTTTTTTGACTCCTCTGGGCAATGGGCAGCCATGGACCCTGAGAAGACACTGAGAAGACACACAGCATCGTGCAGTCTTAGAGTATTGTGCGGAGGGAAATAGCTCAGGATTGTGTCTATTGTGGTCAAATTGTATTTCCCAGCAATATCTCTATCCCACATGCTCTACTGAAATGTGACATTGCTACTCCACCATCAAGAGTGAGTTTTAGGGGTGCCTGGGTGGCTCAGTGGGTTAAAGCCTCTGCCTTCGGCTCAGGTCATGGTCCCAGGGTCCTGGGATCAAGCCCCGCATCGGGCTCTCTGCTCAGCCGGAAGCCTGCTTCTCCCTCTCTCTCTGCCTCTCTGCCTACTTGTGATCACTATCTGTCAAATAAATAAATAAAATCTTTAAAAAAAAGAGTGAGTTTTGTTTTTCATTATACTCTAAAATATGGACAGGACCTGAGACAGCTGGGGCCAGTAGAATATAGTGTCATTTCTGGACCCTTAACTAGCCTTCAGCTTTCACTTCCTGTCCCTTAAACACTGCTTGGAGGGCAGCCAACTCCCTTGTGAGAAGTTCAGCTGTTCAGGGACTGCAGTGCTGGGAGAAATCTGAGTTATGTGGAGAAGCCACTTGCAGGTGTTCTGGTCAACATTCCTGGCTGAGCCCTCAGCCAGCCGTGTGAGTGAGCTGTCAATGGCATCCAAGTCCGTCAAACCTTCAGATCAATCAAAGCCCAGCTGACATGTGTCTACAGGCACAGGAGAGACCCAAGTGGAATCATTCACCTGAGGGTGAACCACAAAGGGAAAAGGATGGGACAGGGACAGGTGAGAGGGTACTGGCTACCTTCTGCACAGACAATTACCGACTCTGGACAAAATGATTTTTTAAAAAGATTTTATTTATTTATTTCCTAGTGACAGAGCGCACGCATGTGCGCGAGAGAGTGAAAGTTATTTTTTAAGAAACAACTATGTAAGGGGATATGATCTCAGGGTCATATAAGATCAAGCCTCATGTCAGGCTCTGCGTTGGGCATGGAGCCTGCTTAGGATTCTCTCTCTCCCTCTGCCCCTCCCTGCCAAAATAATTTTTTTTAACTTTAAAAATTAAAAACAACTATTTGGAGGCACTAGAGAGAAACCAGAGCCAGACAGAAACTGGAGAGGATTCAATCTTTAAAGGCACTGTGTGAGATCTAAGTTTATATGGCTTTTCCCCTTGGGAGGCATCTCTGTGCAAGCGGCAAGGGACAGCTCGAACTCAAACAGAAAACCATAGTCATTGACCTGAGGTGTCAGATGCCAGAGTTTGGGGCCAGACGCCAGATGTAGAGTCCCATGTACCAAGACCGGAAAGAGGCCACCAAGAGCTAAGGATGGACTGTCACAACGTCTCAAGGTAATAGGGACCTCTGTCTCACAATGGCAAGACAACTGGAATGAGCTTGGAAACAGGTTCTTCCCAGAGGGCCCCCCAATAAAAATCCAGCCAGCAGCACTTTGTTCAGCCTTGTGAGACCCACAGCAAAGGAACTACCAAGCCCACCAGGATTTCTGACCTGCAGAACCATGAGATCTGTCTTGTTTGGAGCTAAGTTTGTGATAATTGGTTATCGCAGCAAAAAAAAAAAAAAAAAAAAAACCCAAACAACCAAAACAACAACAACAAAACCCCAGAAAAACAAAAAAACCTAAAAACTTATTCCACGTAAACCCACAATCCCACACTACAAAGAGGGTTATTTCTTTCACTTTTTTATTTGCAAAACTTTTATAAAAAGTAGAAAAATAAACATTTTATTGGGTCCACGTTGAGAATCCCTGCACATAAATAATAAATAATGATTTGGTGGCAATACATTAAGAAAAGTGGCTGCTGCATAAGTACTATCTGGGATGTCAGGACAGGTACAGGTGGGTCTCGGGGATCACACACACAGGTCTCCACTGGCCACGCATTTCAGGTCCCGGGTAAGGAGGCGAAAGAGGTTGAACATGACAGAGGTTTCCAGGCAGCCGAGGGGCTCCTATGGGGAGTAACGGCTGGGTCACTGGCTGTCCATCATCTGGGCTCCCAGTTGTCCCCAGACACTGGCCCTCTCTAGTCACCCACCTTCTTTGGGGCCTCGTGAAGCCGGTGCAGCCAGTGGTGGAGGCGGCCTCGGGGCCGGGGCCCTGCTGGGGGCTGAGCTTCCACCTGTGGGCAGAGGAGGGTGGTGTGTGAGGCGGGGGCCTATGGTGGAAGGGGAGGTTCAGGCGGTCAGAGCGCAGACAGGACCCAGGTGCCCTGAGCACTCACACAGGCCTGGAGCTCAGACTGGATGTGGCGCAGCGTGTGAAGGGGCTGGTCCAGGATGCTCCCCAGGGACCTGTCAGCCATGGTCTCCAGGACCTTTAGGGTCAAGGCCACCTCGGCCTCCAGGGCCACGGGGCGCTCCCACACCTGAGGATGGGAGACGGAGACAGGTGAGAGTTGCACACGAGAGAGGACAGGTTGGGAGGACTGAGGAAGGGCCAGGCAAAGTTGACAGGGGACAGGTGAGAGGGCACAGCCAGTGTGCTCAGGGAGGGGAAGCCGTGTGTGGTGCTGGTGGGGGAGAACGAGGAGAGGGACACGTGGGAAGGAGATGAAGGGGCCACCTGAGAAGCCAGAAGAGGAGGAGCAGGGGAGGGCAGAGGTGGGCCTCACTGTACCTTACCTGCAGCTGCTGTAGGTCCCAGGTCCTGGGGAAGAGGCGGGGGCGGCAGCTCCAAGCCTTCAGGGAGAGTGACTCTTCCTGGAGAGCAAAGGCAGAGGTCAGCCCCCAGTAGGTGGGACAGAGGGGAGAACATCCAGTAGGACCAGATGATGCTAACAGCAGGAGGAAATGAAGTTAACTTGTAAAAGGAGGGTAGAAGCACCTCGACCCCGGGGTGCCCTGAATCTGCCCACCAAGGGCCTGGGGGAGGTTAGCCCAGCGAGGGAAGGGTGCATGTCCTCCTCTGGGGGAGAGCAGCATGGTGACCCAGAGAGGTGGGGGGCAAGGGGAAGGTTAGCCCACAGGAGGCGGGACTGTGAGGAAACTCACAAAGGTGTCCTTGGCCTTCTTGAAGGCCTGCAGCTCTTGCGGGGACAGAGACTGGAACTGGGCCAAGTGGCAGCCCCCTGCATCGGGGAAGACCCCGAGGGGATTGGGGCCAGGAATTGCTTCCGTCCGGGTCAGCACCATAGCTATCAGCACCGGCAGGCAGCCCATGGCCATATCTGTGATGCGGAAGGACAGAAAGGAGAGGGGTTAGGGAGCATCAGGCGCTGAGGGTGAGGTCAGGGTCACGGGCCATGCTAGGGGGCTCACCCAGCTTCATTCCTGGATGCTCCTCTCCTTCAGCCAATAGGAGAATCCGGATGTTCCCTTCAAGGCTGTCGCCTGGGATCCTCACTCAGTCTCTGTGGGTGTCTCTGACTTTAGTGTCCTCCTCTGGAACCCTGGAGACTGTCCTGTCTGCGTCTCTGAACTTCCAGCTTCGTCTGTGTGACTCCTGCCTGAGCCCCATGGTGCAGCTTTTAACCAGGACAGATGGGCAACTCCAGCTGATGTAGGAAAAGTGAAAACACAGCCCCAGGTGGACATCCACCACCAGGGGAGGCCCCAGCCCGGGAAAGCCCAGAGCCAGCTGAGCCTCGAGAGCGGGAGTGAAAGAGAAACTGAACTCTGATTCAGAGTTTACCTGCGTGAAGGTGAGTTCGGAAGATGAATCGTCAGGGCTGGGGCAGCTCCGGCCCTGCCAGGAGGACTCACTGTGCCAGAAAGGGGTTAGATTCAGGCCTGGGATGGGAGGGGCCCAGAGGGACTTCCCTTTCTGTGGGATGCCCTCATGCAGGGAAGGGAGGGAAAAGGCACCCTTAGGGGCTGGTGCCACAAAGAACTTGGCACTTCCAAGAGGGAGGCTGTGTAGGGGAGGGGGAAGGGTGCTGAGTGCAGGAAGAGAGAGTCAGAAAAGCAAAACAGCCAAGAATTAAGAGAGGACCCCAGCTCTCCACCCACCTGTCCCCTGTCCCCACCTGTTATTCACAGAGAGAGAAAGGGGGAGGAGGAGAGCCTCCACGAACATCTTTCCTTGTCCAGGCATGGAAGGACCCAGGACTATGACGCTCTGCTAAGGATTTGGGGTGTGCCCATGACCTTCAAGGGAATCAGCTCTGTTGTGACAAATGCCTTCATTTATGCACTGAGTACTTATTCAGTCCCAGGCACTGTCCAAAGTGCCAGGAATTGAGCACAGAAAACAAAGAAACATACATAAAACAATCCTTCACAGAGTTCATTACTAGAGAGGTGTAACAGTGTTGTGGGGGGGGGTGGAGAGTGGGGAGCAAACGGTATGTATTATGTCAGGAAACAGAAAATGGGTGGGGGGAGACATCATGCAGAGATGAGAGCAGAGAGCAGGAGGGAGTTTATATTCATAAGGTGGCCGGAGAAAATGGCGTTTGAGCAAAGTCCTAAAGGAAGTGGGGAAGGGAGCTATGTGACGATCCGAGGGAGGAGCCTTGTGGGTAAAGGCAACAGTCGTGCAAAAGGAAAACAGAGACACCCCCATTTTCTTGAGCACTTACATGTCTCACCTGGTCACAGAGGTTTTGCCACAATGTAGAATTGAATACCTACATTAACGCCAAGCACATATTGGGCTTTGTCTACCTTGTAAGTAAGAAGTAACCTGCAGGGACTCAGAGAGGTTAAGAGACCTGCCCAAGGTCACACAGCAAGTAACTGATGAGGACTGGATGGTAATGAATTTTGTCTTGCACCTAGATGGTATCCACTATAGTCTCTAACCTTTGTGTTGCTAGATCCTCTGGACCTGGAGGTGATGAATTTTTTGGGAGAGAAGGAGTTGAGTCCTTTTTGACACTTGACTTTCCCTCATTCATAACTCCAGAGACAGGGTAGAGAGAAGTCCTCAGCTGGGAAAAATCGTTGAGCTCTGACATATAAAAATGTTTCAAAACCAAGAGCAGGGATGTACCCAACTCATCTTTCAGTGCACTGGTTAATTTCTGTTAATTTAATTGCAGCGGCCTTCCATCAGGGGAGAAGACCTTGCATCTCAACCACGAATTCGGAAAACTGACATTTTATCTCAAAATTCCTAAACTTCATACTTGTTTTTCTTACAAAGGCAGTTCAGTGGGGTGGTTAAGAGCACTTCCACACCCTGGAACTAAAGGGTCCGGGGTTCAGACCTGGCTTTTACCCTCATAGCCGTGTGACCTTGAGAATGAGGCATGCAGTTAGCAACAAAGATTGCCAGCCCACAAATCTGGACAAGTTAAAAAAAAAAAAAGTACAATTGTTTGTGCACTTATGTGTATGTGGTTTTTTTAATGGAGACCACTTATTAAGACCACACTATGACCTCACCTGGAAGCTTTATAAATACTATTTCAATGTACATTACTCACTTGCAAGGACAGTATAATAATGTCGTTGTATAGATGAGAAAACCAAGGCTCAGAGAGAAGGAATTTGCCTGGAGTTACTCCATAATTAAATGGCAAGGTCAGAACTGAAATTCAAGTTACCTGATCTCCTTGGCTCAGCATTTTTACTGAACAGTACACCCCAAAATGGTCACAGGGGAAACAACCAACGAAAATGCAATAATGTTTAATAACTGACAATACATTAACACCAGCAGACAGAATGGCACATAAACACAGGAATTTTGCAAATACAAAACATCCATAAGTAACAGAATCCAAAAACTACAATAACTTAAGAACTTTAGGACCTTTCCCTACCAAACCCCTCAGGGAATGTATGGGGCCTCCCCACTGGGGAGATTCAAGAGTCATAGATTAATACAATCTCGAAGTGGGAGCTGAAGATCCAAATCCGGAGTGGGACCTGTCCTGGAAGAGGACCTCTGGGGTTCTGGTAACCACAGAAGGAGAAACTGGTGGCTGGTACGTGGTGGTGGTGGTGGCGGGGTCAGTGACCAAGGCAGACTCCATGATCGATCGCCTCTTCCAGCCATACCAGGCACCTGGAGGATCATTGACATCTCGTCCCACGGGAATATCGCTGCACCCCGGGGGAACTCGGTCTGGTCTTGCGAAAAACACCCGCCCCTCTGGCCCTCAGGGCAGGTGGGTAGAGGTCCGGCCAACACACGCTGAGTCTCCCGAGCCTCAGTGCCCACTGGCTGAGACACCCGCCTGCTCCAGGGGGCCAGCAGAAGGCAGCCCCCCGCAGCCGGCCGCCTGCAGACCCGCGGGTCCCAGGTAAAGCCGCCGCGGGGATCAGAGACAAGGCCCCGAGTTCGCCACCAGCTTCAGGTCCCACGTGAGCAGGCGCAGGAGGTTGAAGATGACGCTGGCTTCGTGGCACCGAGGCGAGTCCTGGAACCCGGGAAGGAGGCGGAGCCGGGCTGAACCAGGAATTCCCTTTCGGGCAAAGTCCCCTCCAAAGTCCCCTCACCGCTCAGAGTCGGAGCTCCCAGCCCGCCTCCACCTCCCACGGTCCTCCCTGCGGTCTAACTGCCCCATCGCCTGCTCCACTCACAGCTCTCCGTGTTGGGGGACGCCTCCTCGGTGGCCGCAGGGACTTCCTCCGCGAGCCCAGCCGGACCAGCTCGAGCTGCAGGGGGGACACGAGGGCCATGGAGACGGCGAAGAAGCGAGTGTCCCGGCCACTCGGCCCGCGACCCTCCCAGCCACAGACCAAAGCCCGGATCGGGGGACACCGACACCACGCGAATCGTGGCTGCGGAACAGACCCGCCAAGCCGGTGGGCTTGGGCTGGAGGCCGGGGGCGCAGAGAGAGCTGGGAGGACCCGAGGGGCCGGGGGCGCGGGCGGCACTCACGCAGGCCCCCACATCCCGTCGCGCGGCCGCCAGCAGCTGCAGGGTCGGGCCGGTGCCGGGGAACCGATCAGGGCTCGGCAAGCGGCTCAGCACCGCCTGGGCGTCCGCCAGGTCCCGGACCACAACGCGGAGGCGCGCGCACGACTGCGGGGGGAGCGGACGCCAGTTAGCGAGGCCGTGCTCCCTACCCGCGCCGTCCCCCATCCCCCGCGACGGCTCGCCCCCCTCACCCAGGGCGGCGGACGATCCCTCCTGGGGCGGAACGAGCAGTTGCGCGGCCTCCAGCTCAGCGTCTCCTCCTCCTGCGGGACAAGGGCCGGCGTGAGGCTGGGCCTCCTCGCCAGGCCCCCGAAGCGCTGCGGCGGCGGGGATTCCTGCACGTAGAACGCGCCTGGCCGGGACGGTTGTGCGGATTGTGCACGGAACCTCGCAAGGCGCGAACGCTGGCTGAAGGCACCCGGTGACGCTTGGCCTCGCGCAGCGGGTCCTTTGGTCCGACGTGGAGCCCAGGCCGCCTGCAGGGGGCGCCCTCGGGGCACTGGCCCAGAGGCGGGGTCGGTGCTCCCGCCCGCTCCCCGCGGCGGCCCGCAACATCCGCTGCTCAGAATCCTGGCCCGAGATCCGAGCCGCCCTGCGGGGCGCTAGGGCGCTAGAGCGCCAGGGCCGTCGCACACCGGGACCAGCGGCTGGGGCCCGGCGGGCCCTCGGGCTCGGGGGACCGGGTGGGGACGTCTGGGCATCACTCACGTAGCGGTCCCTCAGCGCCTTGACGGCCGCCAGCGCCCTGGGGTCCAGCGAGCGGTAGTGGGACAGGAGGCAGCGCCGGGGCGTCGCCACGCCGGGGTCCGCCGCCTCGCCCGCGGTCACCAAGACCCATAGCGCCACGGCCATGGCGGCTCCGCCCCTCCGCCCCATTTCTGCTCCTGCAGAAAGCGACGGACGGCAGGCAAGACGCCCAGCCCCTGCCTCTGCTGGGCCTCGCACACCGACTGATGCTCAGAGCTCGGGTGCCTAGCACACGCGGTGGCGGTGGCGGTGGCGGTGGCGGTGGCGGTGGCGGGAGAGACCAGGAGCCCGGAGACCCCCTCTCTGCGTCGGCCTCTCTGCGCTCGCTTCTCCCCTGCGGAGTGCCCTGGGTGCCTCCTTGGTGCGGCCGCGGGACGGGCCTCCCACTGGCCCCGGCGTGGTGCCCACCTCCGACAGCGGTGCCTGCGCCCTCCATGGCGGCTTTATGTGTGCGGCGGAGACCCGGTGAGCCATCGGGCTTTCCCTCGCCATCCCGCTAAGCTTTCCGAACGTCAGCGCTGGCGGCAGGCCGGGTGGGATGCCTGCCATGGGGCGAGGACTTTACCCAGCGGGGTACCGTGCCAGCCCTGACTCTGCCCCAACACTTTATCCTGAGCCAACTGCTCCTGTCTGTCTTCTGGACAGCTGTTTGTCTTTTCCGCCTGCCTTGGTCTTTCTTCTGCACTCTAGGAATGACCTGAAAACAGAC